TTTCTCAGATGAAGAAATGCAAATGGCAAATAAATACATGAAAAAATGCTCATCATCATTGGTCATTAGAGAAATGCAAATTAAAACCACACTGAGATACCATCTCACTCCTGAAAGAATGGCCAGGATCAAGAAAACCAACAACAACAAATGCTGGAGAGGCTGTGGGGAAAAAGGAACTCTCCTACACTGTTGATGGGAGTGTAGACTGGTGCAGCCTTTGTGGAGGTCAGTCTGGAGATTTCTCAAAAAGCTGGGATTGGAAGTCCCATTTATTCCAGCTATTCCACTTCTAGGCATATTCCCAGAAGAACTGAAAGCATCATACCACAGTGATATATGTGCACCTATGTTTATAGCAGCACAATTTATAATCGCCAGATCTTGGAAACAACCCAAGTGTCCATCAACTGAGGAATGGATAAAAAAGTTGTGGTATTTCTATGCAATGGAGTATTATTCAGCTATAAAGAAGGATCACATTGAGATATTTATCAATAAATGGGCGCAGCTTGAGACCATACTCATAAGTGAAATAAATCAATCTCGCATGTGTGAATACCGAATAGTTTCCGTAATGTAAGTAATGATTCAGATATATAAAAATATGTGGTAATCATGATTCCCCATTATGTGGCCGTGAAGCCTTATAAAGTTTTCACTTATTAATTGGATAGGCTTTATTTTGGGCTTTTTGATATGGAAATATTTGAAGGTATAGTATATGAAGTTTTATTCAAATATTTTAAGGAAAAAGACAGACACTATGGTAACTACTATTAAGTCGGGTTATTTGGTGGTGAAGTACTAGATTGCTGAAACAGTCATGCTTTGACCTGTATTGTTATTTGTTATATCCTGTTTTATCTCAATCTCTCCCTTACTCATTAAAAAATTATTTAGTTATTTCTTATATTTTTTTAATTAAGGGGAAAAATTAAAAAAATTAGCAGGATATATAATAGTAACTTTTTTTGATTTCCTATTAACTTGTTTTGAAGTCCGTAATACTCCCACTATCTTGTTTTGACTAATTAGACTCTGTTTCATTCTGTCTGATAGTATCAAGTTTGAGGGTATAGACAACTACTTTGAAGGCAATAAGATTCACTAAGATGCCCATTCTGGTTTGACTATTGTCTCCTTTGGAAGTCCTGTAATGTTTACAATTTTTAAGTTTTATTGGTCTTGTTCTCTACTGTTTTGTTCAACTTTATAATATCTAATGAGATAGACAATTCTTTTTAAGGAAACAAGAGACATTGTAGATAACCATTGTTGATAATCTTGTACTCTGTTTTACATCATGTGCTATGTCTATCCTTGGCTTTGACTGACAGCTTTGTTTTGCCATATTTGACTTTATTCCCCCCCCAAAGTAGTAAGAACTAAGGAGTAATAAAACCCAAAATATGTAAATTTTGTTGTAAAAAAGAGAGCGAAAAAAAGAGCTCTAAAGGATACCACAGCAAGTGTGTTTAGGGGTGTTAAATAGCTGACCATATTAATGTTTTTGGTTGGATCATTGAACACAACTGTTTGCAGTCTCACTGTTTGAATGTCCACTTTGTATGCTTTGATACTGTGATTTGAGCAACTATCTCTAAGATGATAATATGTAATCTATTAACTGGTGATTTCTTAATGTTTTTTTTTTTTTTTTTTGTAGCTCTGTATTACTTGTACCCTTACACCGCTTTGTTTTGTTTTTTCTCTTTTTCCTTTTAAATAAAATTAAAAAAAATAAGTTAACTTATCTCTAGGGATATGGAATAATAAAGGTACTCTACTACTTTAGATAATTTTGTGAAAACTAAACGTCAATTCAATCAAATTCACTATGAAAATGGTCAGCTCTTAGTACACACGGGGAATTGTAGCAGAAACCAGGAATACAGTAGAGTAAACCAGAAAGCTCACAGTGCCCAGGCCTGTCTACAGGTTTTCAAAGAGGCAGACAGTGGACAGGTCAGCACAGGGCTCTGAATAGTCTCTAAATGGGCTTCCTCAGTTTCATCCTTGTCTCTTCCAACCCCTCCAGAGGTCTGTTAGGAGATGAAAGTTTCAGATGGAGTGTAAGGCTTGCTTGGCTGCCAGCTGCCTTTCCAAAGCATCTCCTATCCATCTTCCCCTCACTTACACTGCTGTTATTTTTTAAGAACACCAAGCATGTCCACACTCAAGTTTTTTGACCCACTTTCCCTTTGTTCATGTCTCTGTTCCTACACAGACCACCCTTTGCTTGGTGAAACCTCTTCAGAAGATGCCATCTAAAGTGGGTACGCTACCATTACTGTATTACTGTATCCTAATTTTCCCTATACCTCTTTTTAAATTTTAATGTTTAATTTTCTAATTAACTTAGGCTACAATATCCAGATATTTGGTCAAATAGTATTGTCTATTTCTATGTTCCAAAATGTTCCCCAACAGGATCCTTATATTCAGAGCTGTCGAGCCTTTTGGAAGATGATTGTATCATGGGCTCATAGCTGAATGTATTGTAGGAGGTGGGGCCTGGTTGGAAGTGAGTTACTAAGGCTGTGACCTGGAAGTGTGTATCTCACTTCTCACCTCCTCCCTTTATGTTCTGCCTCCTGGCCACCCTGATAAATGAGTAACTTCTTCTCTGCTATCCTGTCTCTGCAGCCAGCCAACCACGGACTGAAACTGTGAGCCAAAATAAACTCCTTTAAACTGTGGGTGTTGGATATTTTGTCCAAGCAATAGACAAGATTCTGTGCAATTTTTAGGTGAGATTAGTATTGAAATTAGTAAACTTTGAATAAGGAAATTATCCTCTGTAATATATTGTCTACCAGTTGAAAGATTTAGTAAAAAAGGACTGATTTCCCTCAAGCAAGAAGGAATTCTGCCTGAAGTCTGCCTTTGGATTTGAACTGCAATAGTAATTCTTCCCTGGCTTTACAGCCTACTGACATATCCTGCAGACTTTGGATAAGCCAGTCTTTAAAACTGCAATAGCCAATTCCTTAAAATGAATTTCATTTTTAAAAATACACATATTTCTCTGGTGAATCCTGATACACATTTGTATCTGTCTTCGTGGACCAAAAGATATCCTCTATAAGAGCCAGGACTTTAATGTTCACTGCCGTATTCTTCCCTCTCAATAAACTTTTGTTGAATGAAGTGAATTTCATGTTACAAAAAAAAAAAAAAAAAAAGCTATTGAAGGAAATAAGCAGGGTAATGAGAATTAAAAGCTGGAGAGACAATTTTTTTTACTAGTGTCCCCCAACTACGTCTACCGGGAACCTCAAAATGTGACCTTAGGAGACAGCATCTTTGTACTTATAGTTGAGACAAGGTCATACTAAATTAGGGTGGATGTGATCTAATAACCAGTGGTAGTATCATTGAGAGAAAATACACACAGAAGGTTTAGAAAGGAGAATTAGAGATGCCACATAATTAGAGACCTGAGGGTAGAACAGATTGAGGGTGACACTGGTGGCAAGTCATGCCAGGACAACAGCCAGCCAGGAAGAAACATGACCAGATTCTCTCAGATCTCCTCCTGACCTTGACGTCTGATTTCTAACTTCTAGACCTGTGTGAAAACTGAGTGGTTTGGTTTTAAACCACTCAGTCTTTGGCACTGTCACAGCAGCTCAGAAAACACCTTCACTAGTCCCCTAGGCTGCAGTGCCCCCTGTATCCCTGTGGTGTCACTTTTCCTTGCCTGCCTAAGGGTTCAGCAGTTTCCTATTTGGTCACCTAGTAGCCTTGAACCCAGAGACAGGGCAGGCAAAGTCTCCACGTGGACCTGAGGTGGTATGCTGTGGTTTTGGGTTACAAAAGGTTAGCAAGTTGTTTTGTTTGTTTGTTCATTTGTTTTTTAAAATTTTCATTGTCTTGACTGGGAAAAAACAAACCTCCAACTGTGCTGGGAATCTAGACCACAGTACAGATGTTACCCAAGACTGCACAATGGCCATAAGGGGCATGTTCCCCAGCTAAGAAAAATGATACACAGTACTAAGTGGTCTCCCAGAATTCCATTTGTATGACCTCACCTAGAGCACTGTAAAGCTTCTCTGACCAGGTAGTGAAGTCTTGGGTGACTGGTGTGAGTGCTGTCACTATGGTGTTTGGCATGTTGGGTGACTTTGGAGGGGAACCACCTGGGAGTGTGCAGGGCAGGCTCACACTTGCTGTTTGGCACCCAGCACCTTGCCTTCATTGAGCTTGTCACAGTTTGTAACTGCATTTTATGTGATTATTTTGTCTGGAAGGATCCTTATTTGTTTAGCCAAAAACCGCTGGGAGGATGGGGAATATGAACTGTTTGTTCTGCACAGTGTCTGAGGTACATAACACAGCACCCAGCTCACAATAAATACTTCATAACTACTGAATATACACATATTTTAATTTCAGGATACTAAAAGTGCCCTTCCAAACATGGCTAAAATCCTTAAAAGTAACCTTTACGATTTTTAAATCACTCCCCCTTCTCTACGGCCCAGTTGAAGATTCCCTGATCCATACATAGAGACCTGTAGCTACCAATTCAAGGAGCTTCCTCTAGCTTATTTTTAGTCTTCCTCCTCCCACCAGATCTTATGTGAGACTCTAGCCCAAAACAGATGCAAATGGGTCACTGGTAGTGGGAAAATAGGAGGGTAGGACATTTGTGAGCTTTCCCTTTGTGAGGTCCTAAGGCACTTTCAATAAGGTCAACCTCCAAGGAGACCCATAGAGTTCTTGGTTCAAAAAATGTCACTTTGGGGGACCTAGAGGGTACACGCAGCAGAGGAATGGGCCTCTGACACTCAGTCTCCATGGTAATTGGGTCTTTAGTCTTTGATTTAGACTCAAGTGTTCAGATCACTTCCAGATTCAGGAAGTGGTAGACCCAGAACATAGATTCCAGCTGTTGAGAAATGTTCCTCTCTGTCTTTCTATATTTATCTGGTAAAAAGATGACTCCTTCCACAGGATTGGGTGTCAGCACAAAACACAGCAGAGCCAAATACGAAAAAATAACTTTGTTATTAAAGAATATACAATCATACAAAAGTACTTCATAATGTCACATTCATAACTGTTTGAATATTAGCTTGACTGTCATATGACCTGTTTATAAATAATGAACATAGCTATGTAAGTAGAAACTAGTTACTGGAAAGTAAAAACAAACTCACAACACACATGGGATTCTTCAGGTTCCTTGCTTTGGAATTTGGTAAAGGATGCTGAGATCCCTGAGGGATATGTTATAAAAGGGTCCTTTTCTATGATTTCTCTGAAGTGGCAATATTTGTAGGACCATGTGAATCCCATGATTTTCTGCTTTAACACAACAGCGACTGTGCTTTTCTCCAAATGGAAAACTATTTTTTGATTTGTTATGAAACATACATGCTGCTATGCCAGGAAAAATGTCATCAATTTCCTAAAATTCATGATTAATAACTTTAGATGGCTCTAGTTTGGCCTAGATTCTTGCAAATAACTTTTCAGGAAGGTTCCCTGGAAGATAAACTTGCAGAACCAGGCTGCTGTGGCTGTCTCTGTGGAGCAGCTTGCATGGGTAGGACAGTGATGGCCAAAATAGGATGGGGAATTGTGCTGAAAACCCAGAGTGAAGCCTCGTGTCTGGTTAGGAAGAAAGTATTTTCCTTGGTCACCCCAAGGTAAGGCCAAGGTGGTTGTGAAACTTGGAAAAGGAATAGAACCAACTAGGTATTACTCTGAAGCTGATATTTGGTGGGGTAATACTCTTTGCTTCCCCTTAATGCCAAAGAATATTTATTGTATGTGTTGGGGCATGGATATAGCTGTTGTCTTAGTTTATACCAGAATTTCTTTGGTCAACTAATTCTCAGGCAGGTATTGAGAATTAACTCAGGAGGTAATACAAGGCACTTCCTCTTTGTATACTCAACCACCAAACTCCTTTTTTTGGCACATAAAACTTCTAATTTTTCCATCTGGAACCATAAAGGGAAGGATTTTCCTAAACTAAAATGCATGCCCTCCTTACTATTTTCAACAGCAGATTTTTATTATCACTGCTTGCAAAACTTTGATGACAACATTTTTACTAAGGGTCAGGGAGGTGTACAAGGATTTTTTCCTCCATGAAATATGGAGTGATTCCATAAAGTTGTGGCAAATTTGAGCTTCTCTCCCTAAAAAGACGCTTGCACTCTGCTTTGAGCAGAAGCCCTGTTTAGAGAGTGAAGCTTTGTTTTGTATATATAACTAAAAGCTATATTAGAAATAACAATGACTTATGTCATCTTTTGAAATATATAATTTGGATGTGTATTTCTTGCAGTAGTCTAAATTTTGAAAAGCTGAGGATTAGTAATTTTCTAAATTGAATTGGTACAGCAGGTCAAGATTATAAAATACAGGTTACTGTGCTTTGCTAGAGATTATTATCTAAATTAGTATCATGGATCCCAGATATTTTGACTTGTACCTCATTCTTTTGATATATATATATATTTTTAGCCTCTAGCCAAATATGCAGTTTGCTTGAATTTTATCAGCATTTCACAATAGAGATTATATTTCTAAATACAGTTCACAGTCAAGAAAAAGCAAAGGTAATTAAATTGCCTATTTAAAAAAATTAAAGATGAACCTAACCTCTCATGGAGCCTGTACCGGATTGTTTTTGTGCATTCAACCATTCACGCCCTTTACATATTGTATTGTACAGGGAGGCAGATCTTAAATGCCCCAGGTGGGGCTCAACATCTCTCCCTGACCTGTGGCTGGCGAGGGTGTATGTGGCAAAAGTCAGATTCTGGAGAGACTAAGGGGGCAAGGGATCTGCCATGTTTAAGAAAGTAGAGCCAAGTGTTCATAAAATCCTCAGCCACGGACATCTTTAACACGGCGGAAGCAGGGAAGGAAGCATGGTGCTATTAGAGATCTGCAGGTGGCTCTGTCCTCTTGTTCTTCAGTAAGGAGACTTAAGGTGACATGCAAACCCAACAACGGTGGTTTTCTTCCAACAAGCTGTCATAACAGGATAAGCAAATGACTTTGGTGCAAAGGATATGGAAAAAGGTCAAATAAAAACTTTTGAGAAACATAAGGGAATGTTGCAGGATGGGAAAGAGAGACCCTGATGTGACAAACAGTCTGGTAATGATTGTGTGTGAAGTTCAGTGTAAGTGTTCAGATCCCCTGCAGGAAGGTAAGAATCTCTTTTGTGTGCCCATGGAGAAAGTGAACACCCCAAAACCTGAAAGCTGCACCGAAATCAAGAGGCCCCCAACAGTACAGAGAAGGGGCAGAGCTTCCGGCTGGCTGGCTGTTCCCAGCGCCTGTGAATCCTAAGGTCTTGATGGGAGTATGTTTCCCTCTAGGACCCAGAGGTGCTTTGAGAAGATACTGTAACTCTACAACAGGTTGGGAAATGTACCTCCTTTTCTGAACTTCCTACATTACTGAGGGAAAAATATTGTTTCCTGAAAGAACTGGAATTTGGACCACCTTAAGGAAAAATTGAAGTACTGAAAAGAAAATTTTTGCCAAGCAAGGAAATTCATTTTTCTCCTTTCACAAAAAAGAACTCTTAACAGTGTATTATTTTCGGTATGCAGGAAGCTTGCTGGCTCTAGACAAAGACTTCTAATGCTCAAGGAAAGCAAATTTATCAGCCTCTGCCAAGTTAGTTTCAGGGGAGTCCTTGTCCAGGGTTCCCCTGCTCCTTTGCCAACAGCCCCTGCCAATCTTTCTGATTCACTGTACATTGGTCAGCCTGGGTCATGGCCCAGTGGCACCTCTGGGCATCTGGTCACAGCAGGGAATTCTTCTCTCCTTTCTAAGGGTCATCCACCTTATTTAACAAATAACTTCTGATTTATGGAGCAAGACCATGCATTTGATCAAACAGCTTTAAAACATTGTGGCAGTCAGGAATCCACTGTTGTAATGTGAATTTGGGAATTTCATTTCCTTAGTGCCTTGGAAAAAGAGGACTTACTCCTATATCCAAAGGAACTTTCTTCTCCATGAAGGATTCTTTTAGATAAAGATGGCATGAACACTTAGCTTAATCATATTTGAACTTTAAAATGTGACAACCTATGTGGCAATAAATACACAATATAATTCCTTGTCTTCCCAATCTTTACTTTTTCTCTCCTTTCTATAACCAAATTTGGGGGAAAAGGTTGGATAACACCTGTAATATTTATTAGATTAATGAGGAAAAAGAATTACCATCAAGGTGAATCTTTATGGTTGTTTACTGCATTTTAGCTCTAATTTGGATGTAAGAGGAACGCAATATTTTTGTGCGGAACATGACACCTTTCTTAAAGAAGTTAACCTCAAGTTTTCTTGGAGCTCATCTTGCCATCTTTCCCTTTTTAAATACTGTGTCCAATTTAAGATGTGGCAAGAGTACTTAGCTCCAGAGGCTGCTGAAAATATGTGATGTCAAAGAAAAGTCCTGATGCAGACCACCCACCTGACTTTCTGCAAACACTGCAGAAATTCATCATTTCCTTCCTCCTGTCTTTTGTAGGGCAGTCTGAAAATAGTATTTAGAAAGGAGTAGTGAGAAGGCAGAAAAAGAATTAAGAAAATGCAAATGCTTCTTTCTGGTTCCAGTAATTTTTTCTTTAGGTGCTTTAATTAAAGGTGAACGTACTCCTCTTTTCTGTTGATGTGAACAAGTGGAATGTTCTAGGGCTGGAAGTCTCTGGAAGCTCCCAAATCTCTTGCATCAGTTCTTCTTGGGTAGTCATCTCCAGAGCTGAAGTCCGTGGTCTCTGGGTAGCTGGATAGCTCCTGAGGTAAAGGGAACTCCTCTGCTGAAGAGTGAGTCCGGTGCCCGAATACCTTTTCCTGCAGCTCAGCAATGTCATTGCGGATATCAGCCAGAATAAGCAGCAGGAAGTCAAAAGAACCTGGTGGTCCCTGCACAGTGGGAAGAATCAAAGCTGCAATTTACAACAGATTCACCCTGTGACAACAATGGACTCTCTGGCTTTATGATCTGCTGGTCCCATTGCTTGCTGGTAACACCCTTCTGGATAACTGTGTGTCCCAAATGGAGTAAGTACAAGGACTATGATAGCGGTCTGGGACACTTGGGGTTGTCTTCTAGTTCCCCATATCAAATATGAACACTGGTGATACATTCATGTGTTTGCTCTTCTAACACTAGGCTTTGTCAAAGCTGGCAGATAAAAGAATATGAGAAAATTATAAAATCAGTGGCATCATGATTAAGAGACTGAGGTTCTATTGCATTTGCAACTCTCTCACTTGTGAGCTGTGTGGTCTTTGGGTTTCAGTTTCCCCCATCTGTAAAATGAGGCCAACAAACTAACATCATAGAGTTTCATAAGGTTCAAGAAGTCAGTATTTAAATGACTTAATACAGGTAAAAGGTTCAGAGCATAATAAACACTCCAAAATATCTGTTCTTTCAAAATAAAATTAAGATGTTTACAAGATGGTTGACTTATAATAGCAAGCTAAATGAGACTGAGAGTATGTTCTGAAGACACCAATTTCTGGACTATTAGGAAAGGTTAAAACAAGTTTCCTAATTTTCCTATTTATTGAACATTCTTTATCATTATATAATATAGCTTTAATCCCCAAGCAATGCTGTGGTGAACTGTGATTATAAAAAATGTATAGGCATGCATATTTTGGTCCTGTTACAATATAAAGGTGAAATTGCTATTACTGCTGTTATGTCTGTAGCTGTGGTTAGCTACCTCCATAGAAGCAGCAGTTTACACTGCAAAGCACTTAAGCCATGATATTTTGCTATCACTTGACCCTCACAATAAATACTTAAAGAGTGGCAGGTCACACGGCCCTGGGACTGTACAAGAGAGGGGAAAATGCCCAGAAATGCTAAGTGATGGGCCTGTGGTCAGAAAGCTAGCAGATGGAAGAGTTCAGACGTTTTGTCTTTGTGGCCACAGCTGTCAGTCTTTTTTCAGATATAACACTGACTTCTTCAGAAGTAGTAGACTTATTTGCATTTTCTGTATTGCTGGGTATTACTAATTTCCATATTGAGCGTCCTAGACACTGCTGATGTATTCAGTTAATTTCTTCTCAGGTCTCAAGAAGCCCTGCACATCTCTGACTTTTGTGAAGGAGGTGGTCATCTGACCTGTTAGCACTGCATTGGGTTACATTCTCAAGTGTTTCAAATTCTGAAAATCCATTGCTTTCTATTCTAGTTCTCTAAGATATTTAAGATACACTGTACTGGAAACAGACTCATGACATGCTTAGCTTTATAGAAAATGTTCCACATAAAGATTAACCAAGATAAAAGAAAAGTAGCAATGGAAAATAAATTTAGAAAGTAATCAAGACCAGCTGCTAAAGGCTTTCGTGATGCTCTAACTCCAGCATCCTGCTTAGGTGGCTTCTACTATGAGGATCTGCTTTGGGCTCTCATAAATGTAAGAGCTGAAAACAGTACATTCCCATTGTGGATGCAGGACAGACAGGGCCACTTACAGGAGACCCTCTGGGTCCAGGTGCTCCTCTCTCCCCCTACAAACAGAAAGGCAGGGGTTAGTGTGCGAGAACATATGAATTCCACACCCAGACTCTATTCAGACAATCACCAATCACAGTCATTTTCCTGCACAAAACAAGCACGTTATTTTCTATAGGAAACAAATGTAGGAGTGTAGCTGGGTTTCTGGGACTGCTTATATGAATAAAAATACTCAGGTGAAGTGTTCTTCATTCTGATTTTCCCTAAGTCATATATTTTCAAGCCAGATCTGACAAGTATTTCCAGGCAGTATGTGGAATAATAAAAAGTTTCTAAAGTTTGACACATGACATCTTTTGGGGATCGATAGCAGGAAGTCCTCAAAAGTGAAATCACCCACTTACATAGAATGAATCTTCTGTTTTGACTCAATAATCTTAAAGAAATGGAGATACACAAAGCAAACAAACAAAGAAACCACCCTGTGAAACAACACTGGAGAACATATCATAAAACAGAGGTTTAAAACTCAGAGGGATCCTATTTCTTAGGCATGATACTGGTGATTGTATTTGCTTTTAGGGTTTATTTCAAACTTTAAATTTTATTCAAGTTTTACAGGTAAAAGTACAGGTTGAGTATCCTTTTTCAAAATGCTCAGGATCAGGAGTATTTCAGATATCAAAGTCTTTGGATTTTGGAATGTTTGCATAGACTGCCAGTTAAGCATCACTAATCTGAAAAATCTAAAATCTGAAATATTTCAAAATCCCCAAATTTTTGAGCACCATGTCAATGTTAAAAGAGCTTCAGATTTTACATTTTAGGATTTGGAATACTTGATCCACACATGTTTGTTTTAGTATTGCCACATGCAACACAAGGAGATAAATAGTCCTTATTAAACTTTACTTGGTGCCTGCATTGTAGGTGGAAACAGACTTACCTTAGAGCCATCCCTTCCTGGTGCACCTGGTGGGCCCTGCGATATACAAGGATCCGGTTTAATAGAAAGAAAAGGCATCGGACACATACTTTCCCCCAACAGTAAGTGGATCTTTGGTAAGATACTGACCACAGGGCCCCTCCGGCCTTGCTTAATGTGAGATAGGTCAGGAGATGGTCCCATGGGTCCCATTGAGCCCCGTGGGCCGGGCTGCCCAGGAGGGCCTGGCATGCCTGGGAAGCCAGGGCTCCCCTTCGGTCCTGGTGAGCCTGTAATCAAAGAACAACTCATTAACCCACAGCATGTGGGAAAGCAAGGGGTTCTGGCGGATGAGATTGTCCAGGGGCTGCTGCAGCCACTTTTCCTCGTGCTCTGCCCCTTTGAGTCCACCACAAAGGTGCCCCACGGGAATTTTAAACTTAACCTAATCAAAGTGACTTCCTCATGTTCCTCTCTTTTTACAGACTACCGGTCATAACAGAAACGTGAGAACCTGCCAATATTTTCCTGTTTCCACAATCTCCTTAGCCAATCAGTGACCTGCTCCTTCCCAACGTTACTGATAACTGTCTGAGCCTCTCCGTCTTCTCATCACATCAGGATACTATCACATGTGGGTAGTAACCACATCTGGATAGTGGTTAAGAGTACAAGTTTTAGTGTTGGAGAGACCAAGGTCTGAATCTCTGACTAACTGCTTGTACTCTTTGGACCTCAATTTCTCCTCTCTAAACCTGGGCTAACAAAGTTTTCTTTACAGAATGGCTGTAATGAATGAGAATTAAAACGCACATATACAGAGCACTTGGAATAGTATCTCACATATATCAAGCACTAAAAATAACTTAGGCTTCTGCCTTTCTTTTGTTTGACTCAATTCTTTCTTCATAGCTAGAGTCCCTCTATTTCCTCATCAATCTTATTTATTCCTCACCCACTCTTCACATTTCTGTATTAGTATTATTTTCTAAAATAAGTCTTACTGTGTAGTTTTCCTAATTGCAACTCTTTGGTATCACAGAAGTGGAGTAGCAAACTCTTTCTCCTGCAGCCCTCCTCCACAGTGAGGGTAGAATGTTGTCCTGTCCAAGATTTGCTACAGACTCAAGGCCTGTTGCAGGTGAATGGGCACAGGAAGACCTCACCTCACGGTTCACACGCACAGCTCACCCTTAGGATGACGGCAGTAGCAGCTGATCTGAAAGCGTTCTCTATTCTCACAATTCTATCATGGAGTAGTAACTGAAAGCTATCTCTAGGGGAAGAGCGAGAATACAGAGCGATGTAAGGGCAACTGAAAACTGCGAGTAGAGCACAAACACTCAGAAAACCCCACTGGTATCCTCACCCCAACTAAGCATCAGGCAACAGTATCTCATCACTGGAAGAATTTGAAAATCTGGAAACTGCAAAATACACCCCAACAAAAGAAGAGGGTATCTATCTATTATTCTCCAACAAATGAAGTACAGCATACAATATAAAAAATTTTAAGTGACATGAAAAAGCCAAAAGCAAAACAAAAATGTCAAATGAACAACTAGCAAACCTAGACTTAAGAGATGACTTGGATACTGGAGTTACCTGTCAGGGATTTTAAAGTAACAATAATTAACATTGTTAAAGGTGATAATGGAAAAAGATAGATGGTTCACCCCAACAGATAGACAATTTCAGCAAAGATGGAAATTAGAGGAAAAAAGTCAAATGGGCATAAACACAATATGAAAAGATTCTTGACAGGTTTATCAGTAAATTGGTCACAGTTGATGAAAACACCAATAAAGTTAAAAGTTACATTAACAGAAATTTTCTAAAACTACTAATGGTTTGGCTATATGTCCCCCAAAATCTCACTGTGTTGAAGGGTTGGTTGCTGATGAGCTTTTGGGAAGTGATTGGGTCATGAGAGTTTTAACTTATCAAAATGAGTTAATCTACTGGTGAAATTAAATTGTTTTGAGATAGTTAGGTCTTCCTCATATCACTCAATCACAGATTGAGGCATGACAATGAGTTACTAAGTTTTATACCTACCCAGGAGCATACATCACTATTGAGTGACTACGGTATCTGTAGAGAATTTCGATCTTTGGTTACAGTGTTAAGAGCTCCTGGTTTCATAGCCCTACATGCCCTCTTTAAAGAAATCATAGTTTGATGACATTATTGGAGATGATGGAATTGGGCTTAGCTGAATGGAGTGGATTATGAGGATGTGACCTTGAGCACTGTGTCTGGTACTTGACTCCTCCTCTGTTTTTCTCCATTTCTGTTCCTGGTAGGCATGAAGTGAGCAGCTCCCCTCTGCCATGTCCTTCCGCCATGACATTTCTGCCTCATCGCAAGCTTAGAGCGATGGAGCTGGCTGACCATGGACTGAAATCTCTGAAACCATGAGCCAACATAATCCCTTCATCTTTTAGATCTTTTTTAAAATTGGTACCGGGGATTGAACTCATGACCACCTGCTTGCAAGGCAGGTTCTTATGCTGCTGAGCTAAATCCCTAGCCCCAACCCTTCCTCTTTTAAACTGCTTTTACTAGGTATTCTGCCAAAGTGTTACAAGCTAACACAAAAATGAAACACAAAGAGAAACCAAAAGTAAAACAGAACATCTGAAAGAGTTGGGGTGACATCTGTCTAAATGTCACCAGTGTTTGAGGAGATGAAAGCCCTACAGTTTCCCTTTGTATGCAGTTCAAACTTACAGCACACTCTGGTAGCTCATTCTTGTCTTCCTCTCCAGGCACCTTTCTCACCATCACCGCACTCCCCATTACCTCTCAGGCCCCACACACCCTAAATAAACCCTGCTGCTGCTGAGCCTAGACTGATTTCCTGTTTGGCCTCCATCCTCATTTAATCACCCACCATGGGCCATGTACCTCCAAAAGCACCTTACCACTTCTTCCTGGGAGAATTAACCACTTACTTCATTCGACACCATACTTTCTATATAATAGGATGTATACTATATAATGCATATATGCACAAACATACTCTGCATGTTTATATTATATACATACATATATTTATAGATACACAATTACCTCTGAGCACTCTATCTTAAAATTAGAAGATTTCATAAAAATACTTAGGTTTTGTCTTCAATTTGAAAAGAGGAAGAACAAAAATCTAGACCATGATTCTGCCATTGGCTCAGACAACTGGAGCCCCAAATGGGGGTTGCCTTTTTAAATGGAATTTGTGATCAATTCTCTTCACTCTTGACCCCTTACCCCCAGTCCCCTTCATTCATTTGTGCTAGTCATCTGCACTCTAGATACTGAGGGATTTTTGTTGTTTTTGCTTTTAAAATTCTTTTCAGAGGCCTACATCAACACTGCTTTGGGAATATATACATTGAAGAACAACTGATTTAACTGTTTGTAATACTTGTTTGCATGTGTGCCAGATTTTGGTTATTATCATTTGTCATGGAAGTTAATGGGGAGGAGAAGTACGCAGTGTTTAGGCAGTTACGGTTGTAAATGATCCTAGTGTGGGCTGGGCTTTTGGTGAAGACTGGGGCATCCCACACTTTCACAGGGATGCACGATAACCGCCACACAGGGACAGTTTCAGGGAATGCTTTGCTGGTTCCTCAAGAGTCACGGTTGTGTGAGGTGTTGGGTTGCACCCTTCTCACCTTTGCGGTAGACTTTGAATAAAAACCAGGAAGGATGAGGGAAAAGGGAGTGTGGATTTGAGAGCACCTCTTAAAAAACATCGTGGTGGAAAATTTATCATCTTAACCATTTTAATACATGCATCTCAGTAGTAGTACGCACATTCACAATGTTGTATAAGAGATCTCAAATTTTTCATCTTGTAAATGTCCAACCTTATGCCCACTGAACAATTCTTTCCCATTTCCTCTCTACTTAAGAGCAGTGGCAAAGAGCAGGAAAGGAGATTTAATCAGCATGGCCATGTTGGGAAGCACAGATAAACAGCTTCAAAATCTGTCTTAGAAGGGCTGACAGAGCTTTGAGGTTTTATAGAAAAGGGGAACAAAAGCAAGGGTACAGGATTTGTATAGGTGATAGGTAATCCTTACCAAGTTGTGGTCCTGTTGATCAGCATGTCAGGCTGTGTGGTAGATTAAAAACTGATGGTCAACTTAAACACCAGCTGAGCTGAATCAGCATGGTGCTGAGTGCAGATGGCCCACCCCAGGACTGTTGCCAGCATAAAAAGGAGCCCTGGAGAGGAAGAGTGTGGTTGTTGTTTGGTTCTGTTGCTTCTCCTGTTGCCTTGGGCTCTCCTGGCTCTCAGTTTACTGAGCTTATTTCATGATAAGAGCTTGGCTGTTCTCATCATCAAAGGAGCTCCGGACCTCATTGCTGAGAATGCCTGCTTTTCACTTTGGGGGAACTCTGACTCTTACTTTAAGCATTACTTCTTGGCTCTGGAGGGGAAGATGTGTGCTATTGAATCTCCATGAGAAGCTTGTCCACTGGCTGCCTGATACGAATTCGGCTGTTCTTGTTGTTGGAGGAGCTTAGGACCTCACTGTTGCTGAGGATGGCTATGGTACTTCTTGGTGGTGGCGGTGGGGCTCTAGTTCTTACTTTTGAGCATTGCTTCCTGGCTCCAGTGCAGAACTCTCAGCCTGCTGGCACAGATTCTTCATCCTGCTGGCACAGACTTGCTAGCTTCCACCGTTGACCAGCACACATCCATGAAACAGACTTGCACGAGTCATTGTCATGGGCTTCCAGTCTTAAAGGTGGATTTGTGGAAGGCATTGTCATGGGCCCTACATCTTTAGCTGACTCATGCAGGATATTGCCATGGGATCCAGGCCTTGGCTAGATTTTCTAGGTCTTTAGTATGTGCACAGGTTTCCTGCACTTTCTTTGTATTTAACTCCTTGGGTGACCACTATAAATAATACTATAAATTATGCATCCTGTATTGTCTGTTACTCTCCTTACAATCCCTGACTACAGCAGGTGGATTATGTGAGGTTCTAGGAGAGTCACTGCTTGAGGGCACAATTTGGTTCCCATCATGAGATGATGGTTCCTGCTTAAGGGGGTTTTAGTTCCTGGCATGGGATAAATGTTTCTGGCTGGAAGATGACTTCATTATGGAGTGGGCTGAGAAGCTCTGCTTTTCTTGTATTTCAAGATGACTGCAGATTTAGTATACAATGACTGAAGACTTCTAGGTGTTGTACCAGGTAGGGCCTCTGGAGCTGTACTTTGTATAACCTGGCATTGGATGTCCTGAGCAAATCCTGAAAACTAGCCACTTTTATCTTTATATCCTCAGTCTTGAAGGGAGATGCAATAAGTTGGGCAAATTTAAGGCTAATAAGCCTATCATTTTGGAGACTCCTTAAGTGATTATCAATCATAATGTGCACAGTTAAGCAGGGATCTGACTCAAAGTTTTAAGGTAATAAAAAATGATTATAAAATAAAATCTAAATGCCAAGTTTCATCCAACTTTTAATTACCCACTGGACATCTGTAGGCTCCATTTCTAAGTTTCTATTATATTTCTGTGAGTTTGACTACTTTAGATATTGCATATAAATGCAATGACAGATTATGTGTCTTTTAACTGACTTACTTTATTTAGCCTAATGTTCTCAAGGTTCATTCATATGTCAGTATGTGTCAGAATTTTCTAGTTCAGGGAACAATAGGAAGTTAAATATTGAAGGCGATATTCCATACAATTATGTTTCATGCCCCATCTATTACTGCTAATCACAGTTACATTCCAAACAAGTTTATATGGGAAGGAAGGGGAGCAGATCCTCCAATAATTAAATATTTTATCTCCAATTGCAGAAACACAGGCTAGAGACAACATCTTCCCTGAATTTACCTGATCAATGAACCTTAGACATCACTGTATGTCAAGTACATTTAAATGAGAGGCCTTGACACAAAAGTAGAGTGCCTCATATTTAACAGTGGAGAATAGAGAGCCAAAGCCAGCTCATCACTACCAAAGGCAAAGGATTCCAACCCATTATCTTTCCTATGTTGATGCTCCAACCTGTGACTTATCACAGGCCTTAGAAGGAACTTTTATTTAAAAGTAAGAGGAATGTATTAGCTTTCTAGGTGTTCTGATATATCTCAATGGAGGGCTTCAAAAACACTCTAAGTAGGAAGTGACAAATTCTTCATGTAAGGGTTTAGTTCACTGTAAAAGCTCATTTATCCTCAGTGCTCTCTGTTCCATGAAGGACCATGGACAGCTCAAAGCATATTAGAAACCAAATGGCAGACTAGGAAAGGAAAGCTAGTAAATGATTTAAAAAAAAAAAAAAAAAAGCCAGTCTGTATAAGACCATTTGGATGGCTCTCCTCAAATGCAGAACAATTACTTCTGCATCAGTTAAACCAGGCCCTGTCTCCATGTACTGCTGTATACAGAGTTGGCTAAGCTATTTCTCCCTTCGACTGGCTTTAAGCCATGTAAACTGGGCTAGCTGAGGTACTAACATGTAATCTTTAATGTCCGCTGATAGTTTCATGTTTCCTCACCTCATGTCTCCCTATAAATGGTTGAGCACAGCGGGATGGCAGAGTCACATAGCTCTAAGAATATCAACTGGGTTTAATAATTTCCCAGAGGACAAAGCCTACATATCAGAAACTGATGCAACAGCCTCCTAAACATTCAAATGGTACCTCAACTGAGTTATGCAGCAGATTGGTCTTTCTGCACACTATGCTCTCTGCATATTGCAGAGGTGCCTTCTGGCCACTGGGCTAGCTCAGCTAAAATTACATAATTCCCACCATTCTCATCTTCACTCATTGTGGAGCCACTCCCTACCTCACAAGTTAAAAAATCCTGGGTTAGCATCTGGGAGGGGCCTTTTTCTTGTGAATTCTCTCCTGGGTCAGACTTAGGAGCCCTTGGCTGCCTATAACTATGAATATGTCTTATTGTCTTTATTGTTGCTGTGAGTTACATTGAAGGTGGTAGACTGGAATTAACTCACCGCGATTCTAATAAAGTTTCAACGACATTACAAATAGAAACTATCTGGAGTACAAAGAGGATGGGAAAAGGGATTACAATATTTAGATTACAATACCAGTCAATGCCTCCCGTGCCCTATGGCTGTCCTTGGTCAGAGACATGTTGAATGGCCTGGAAATGAACTTCCCCAGGGAAGTAAAGCAAGAGCTTATTTTATAGAGGAGCAGAGAACACTGGTGGGAATCGAATTGTAAGGAGAGACTCCAGACTACTACTTAGAAACAGCAACAGGCTGCCTATAGGAGGCATCTGCTGGAGAAAAGTGTGACACAATCCAGAGAACCTGAGGTCAAGGAATGAACAAAAAAACAAACCCAAGTTCTGGGCCAGTTCTCTGTTCAGACTAAGACCTACAGTGTCTGTATTTGATGGAGATTAAGTATTGAAGACACACAAATCCTTTAGGAAAGACTGAGTCTTGATTCTTGCTGATTGTCCTACCTAAAACTTATCCACATTCTTTCTACTTGGACAAATTCTACCAATCTTTTATGTGCAAATCAAGCTCCAAATTCCTGACTGCTGCAGGTTACAGCAACTTTTCCTTTCTTTCAGCTCCCACATCAGGATGTATCTGCACACTTAGTTGAGAGCATGTAGAAATTCTTTTTATTTTGTATTTAAAAAGATTTTTATTTAAAGAGATAAAAAGAAAAAAGGGTAGAAATACATAATTTCAAAAAAATAAACAGTAAGAAATCAGTAGTTGATAACTTACATATTGTCCTCTTTAGCAATAGTTGTTCAAATTACAAAAGTAAAACATACAAAGTAGACATTCAAACAGCGAGATTGCAAACAGTTCTGTTCAATGATCCAACAAAAACTTAGTAATATGGTTATCATTCCTACACACTTAAACATACATGCAGTTATATCCTTTAGAGTACTTTCTTTTCCTCTCTTTTTTACAATAGCACTTACATATTTTAGGTTTTATTACTCCTACATTTTTTACTACTTTTTACACTAGAGACATAGTGTGATATTTATAAATATGATTCTTATTTCACCAATGAGTTGTCTCCATTTGCCTATGAAGGCCTCAAGATCATCCTTAGAAACTCTTGTATTCTATTTGCATTCACTGCCTACCTCTTGTCTTCCCTTTTAGAATGTCAGGATGTCATTTCAAACTCTTAACACACTGCTAAGCAAAGATAACCAGTGATCAGACAATGATTTACAATCCTTTGCTAACACTAATATGATTGTGTTTACTGATGTAAAAAATTGATCTGTCTATGGAGGGGCTCATGATAAAACATAAAATACTTTGTAACTGGTTTTTGAAGTTTTCATTGCATTTTTAAATGAAATGATAGGACCAAGAAGGCTGGGAATGTAGTTTGGTATAGAGGCCCCAGTATTGCCAAAAAACCAAAACTTTTTCTTCAAATTAATAAAGCTGAATCTCTAAAACCAAATGCTGAATTGAAGAAGATAGATGAAAAGATCATAAGCTACTACTGATGTGTAATCCCAGCACAGGTAAAGCTATGGTAAAGGAAAGCAGATTGGCGGGGATGGACAGTACACTGACTACAAATGGGTATATGGGAACTTTCGCATAGGATGTTGGTTACAAGGTTGTACAGATTTGCCAAAATTCACCAAATCATAATTTAACATGGGTACATCTTAACTTACAGCTCAATAATGTCTACTTATAAAGAAAATTATATAGATAGAAGTAATAACAAGGGTGAATGTATCAATAAGGGAAGATGGAACAAGAACTGCAGAACAGTGGAAACGAGGCTGGCCAGGAATTGGTAGAACTCAATGATTATACCATGTAGTTTTGTATGTATTCAAATATTTGCATCCTGAAGTTAAGTAATAGCTTGGTAATTCTCTATTAAAATGATCTTCCAGAATCATATCTAATCCCAAGACAGTTACCTTTTCCTCTCAATTTACTATCAGTTGTAAGGGGTTCTCAGGCTGGAGGGCCCAACTTCCCAAGGCCCTGTCAGTAACGTGGGCATGCCTGCTCCCTGAACAACTGCTTCATTTCTTGTGATGAAAGCCGGAGACCACCACCTGGCCCCCACAGAACATGACCTCTTGTAATCTATCCTGGTGATTCTATAAGTCCCCTGGGCTCCTCTCCACACTCACCGGGTGGACCCTGGCCTCCAGGTAGGCCAGGGGGTCCTGGAAGGTAGGCGTTTGAGGCCAGCACCTTGTTGCCAGTGATGTACTTGCCCAGCTCAGCAGCACTGTTGGGGAGCAAAGCAATCTGCAAAGAAAAGGGGACACCGTGGTCAGAAAGCAGTGTCCCGCTGTTTAGCTGCCGCGCCTGGCCATCGGTCTGCAGAGGAGGAGCTGGGCAGATTTGGGGTGCCCTCACCGGCCTCTCTGCATGTCTGGAGGACTCTGGAAATCTCCGCCCAGACTGTTGGAGTCCCCCCAGGCTTCCAGGTGCAGTGAAGGGGAGAGGTGGGTTTGAGGCTTCCACATCAGCCTCCCCATTCCAGTTACACTTGGAGAACTGCTGAGCTCCCGACGGGTGGGCGGGCCCACACTATCAGCCTAGTCCAGCCTGTTTAGCTGCCGCGCCTGGCCATAGGTCTGCAGAGGAGGAGCTGGGCAGATCTGGGGTGCCCTCACCGGCCTCTCTGCATGTCTGGAGGACTCTGGAAATCTCCGCCCAGACTGCTGGAGTCCCCCCAGGCTTCCAGGTGCAGTGAAGGGGAGAGGTGGGTTTGAGGCTTCCACATCAGCCTCCCCATTTCGGTTACACTTGGAGAATTGCTGAACTCCCGACGGGTGGGCCGGCCCACACTATCAGCCGAGCCCAGCCTGTTTTTCGGCCACGCCTAGCCATCAGTGTACAGAGGAGGAGCTGGGCGGATCTGGGGTGCCTGCATCGGGCTCTCCATGTGTCTGGAGGGCTGTGGATATCTCTGCAACCAGGGAGGGTCCACAGGTTCCTGAGGCACCGCGGCCTGTGGTGAGTACCCTAACCCGGCTGCGATTGAAGAACTGTGGAGCTTCCAAGGGGCAGGTGGGCGCACAGTGTCCCTGAGGCCCAGCTTGTCTGGAACTGTGGAGTTCTGAGCAGGCAGAGGAGGACCACTGGTTCTGTAGGCCCAATGGCTTGGGATAGCGCGGTGCCAGAGTCTCAGTAGCTCTAAACATAGAAGGGGATTTTCAACAGATCCTGAGGAAGCTTTCAAATAACACTTGAAACACAGAAATATAGGAAAATGACAAAACGAAAGACCAAATTACAACCTCAAACCTCCAGCCCATCTCAAGAAGCCCTAGGAGCGATGTATATAGAAGAAAATATATCCCATCCACCTCATATATCGGACACAATAGCTACTGAAATTGACAAGCAACTCCAGGAAGCTTTAAAGAAATTCAAACTCGAAATAATCTCCCAGATAAAAGAAGAAATGATAAAAGAAATGAAAGAGATTCTAAATATATCTAAAGAAAACACAGATAAAAAATTGGAGGAACTAAACGAAAAGATAGAATCCCTAGATGAGCAATATAAGAAACAAACAGAATACATAATGCAGATGCACAGAGATATACAGGAAATAAAAAACTCCACTGAAAGTTGTAAAAACCGCCTTAATGAAAGTGAAGATAGAATTTCAGACCTTGAAGACAGGATTGCAGCTAGTGAACAGGAAAGGAAAGATCTTTTGAAAATAACAAGGAATCAGGAAACAACAATACAACAACTGCAAGACGATGCAAAGAAGAATAACATAAGAATGATAGGGATTAATGAAAGAGAGGGAGACAACATGAAGGATGTCAGGAGGATATTTAGAGAAGTAATAGCTGAAAATTTCCCAAGCATGAGATCAGAAACTGACATCAGGATCAGTGAAGCATATAGAACTCCAAACAGTCATAAACAAAATAAAACTACACCCAGACATATAATAATCACCATCCCAGAAATCCAACACAAGAATAGATTATTAAAAGCTGTCAGAGAGAAAAGACAGATCACTTATAAAGGAAAACCTATCAGAATCACAGCAGACTTCTCAGCACAAACGATAAAGTCAAGAAGAGCATGGAGTGAAGTATTCCAGATCCTAAAGTAAAACGATTTCCAACCAAGACTGATATATCCTGCAAAACTATCATTCAAAATAGATGGTGCAATACGATACTTCCATGACAAAGAACAGCTGAAGAACTTCATGAACACCAAACCAACCCTGCAAAAAATATTGAAAGACAGTTTAGATACACAAACAAAAAAACCACTAAGCAAAGCAAATAATTAAACAGAACAGAAAGATCAAGATGCAACAGCAGAGAGATAACATTCCTACAATTAACCAGCATTTAACAGTAATAACCATTAATGTAAATGGTCTCAATGCACCAATCAAAAGAAACAGACTAGCAGAATGGATCAAGAAACAAAATCCAACCATATGCTGTTTACAGGAAACCCATCTAACCCAGAAGGATACTCACAGACTGAAAGTCAAAGGATGGAAAACAATTCTTCATGCAGCAGGAATCAAAAAAAAGGCAGGAGTAGCCATTCTGTTTGCAGACAACGTGAACTTTAAACCAACAATGACCATAAAGGACAAAGAAGGTCACTACATACTCGTAAGGGGAAAACTCCAAGTGGAAGAGATAACTATCTTAAATATATATGCACCAAACTCCAGAGCACCCAGTTATATAAACAATTATTAACAGAAATGAAAACTCAAATTATCAGTAACACAATTGTAACAGGAGACCTTAATACACCACTGACACCAAGGGACAGATCAACCAGACAGAAAATGAGCAAAGAAATAACAGAACTGAATCACACCTGTGAACAAATGGGTTTGATAGACATATACAGAATGTTCCACCCAACAACATCAGAATACACATTCTTCTCAGCAGTACATGGATCATTTTCTAAAATAGACCATATATTAGCTCACAGAACATATTTAAGCAAATGCAAAAGAGTTGAAATCATCCCTTGCATATTATCGGATCATAGCGCTTTGAAATTAGAAATTAATGACAAAGGATACTGCAAAAATTCCGCAAACACATGGAAACTGAATAACACACTCTTGAGTAATCAGTGGGTCACAGAAGAAATTAAAGAAGAAATTAAACAATACCTAAAAGAAAATGAAAATGCAGATACAACTTACCGGAATCTGTGGGATGCAATGAAAGCCGTGCTGAGAGGAAAATTTATTGCACTGAGTTCCCACATCAGGAAAACAGAACAAATACAAATAAATAACTTGATGCTACACCTCAAACAGCTAGAAAAAGAAGAGCAAGTCAAGCCCAAAGCCAAAAGAAGAGAGGAAATTATAAAAATCAGAGCAGAAATCAATGCAATAGAGACTAAGAAAACAATCCAAAGAATCAACGAATCAAAGAGTTGGTTCTTTGAAAGAATAAATAAAATCGATAAGCCCCTAGCCAACCTTATTTAAAAAAGGAAGAAAAAGCTCAAATTCATGCAATAAGAAATGAAAAAGGAGAAATCACTACAGACCCAATAGAAATACAGAGGATCATCAACACCTATTTTGAAAACCTCTACTCTCAAAAGTATGATAACACAGAAGAAATAGACAGAATCTTAGAAGCATATGAAGTACCAAAGCTAGATCAAGAGGATATAAAACTGTTGAATAACCCAATCTCTGCTAATGAAATTGAAAATGTAATTAAGTTCTTACCCACCAAGAAGAGCCCAGGCCCAGATGGATTCACTGCAGAATTCTACAAGAAATATAAAGAAGACCTAATGCCGACACTCCTCAAACTATTCAATGAAATTGAAAGGGAAGCAATCCTTCCTAAGTCATTCCTGGAAGCAAATATTGCTCTAGTACCAAAACCTGAGAAAGACCCAACTAAAAAAGAGAACTATAGACCGATCTCCCTAATGAACACAGATGCAAAAATCCTCAATAAAATATTGGCAAATAGGATCCCGCAAATCATCAAGAAGATTATACACCATGACCAAGTGGGATTCATCCCAGGAATGCAAGGATGGTTCAACATACGCAAATCAATAAATGTAATCCACCATATCAATAAAGCCAAAAATAAGAATCACATGATCATTTCTATAGATGCAGAAAAAGCCTTCGCTAAGGTCCAACACTTATTCATGATAAGAACTTTACAGAAAATTGGAATAAATGGTCTTTACCTCAATATAATAAAGGCCATTTATGACAAACCAACAGCCAGCATCATACTAAATGGCCAAAAATTGAAAGCCTTTACTTTAAAATCGGGCACAAGACAAGGATGTCCTTTATCACCACTCCTATTTAATATAGTACTGGAAGTACTAGCCAGAGCAATTAGGCAAGAGAGAGAAATAAAAGGGGTAAAGATAGGAAAAGAAGAAGTTAAATTATCATTGTTTGCAGATGACATGATACTCTACATAGAAGACCCCCTAAACTCCACTGAAAGACTCTTAGATACAATAAATAAATTCAGTAATGTGGCTGGATACAAAATCAATACTCAGAGGTCAATAGCATTCCTATACACGAACAACAAAATTACAGAGAGGGAAATAAGAGAAACTGGACTATTCACATTAGCAAGCAAAAAAATGAAATATTTAGGAATTACTCTTATGAAAGAAGTGAAAGACTTATACAGTGAAAATTATAATACACTGAAAAAGGAAATTGAAGATGATCTCAGAAAATGGAAAGACATCCCTTGCTCATGGATAGGAAGAACAAACATTGTGAAAATTGCCATTCTCCCAAAACTGTTATACAGATTCAATGCAATCCCAATAGAAATACCATCAACATACCTTATAGGTCTAGAGAAATCACTCCTAAATTTCATCTGGAACCAGAAGAGACCTAGAATCGCAAAGGCAATTCTAAGCAGCAAAGACAAAGCAGGAGGCATCACAATCCCTGACTTGAAGTTATACTACAAAGCAACAGTAGTAAAATCAACATGGTATTGGAATCAAAACAGAGCCGAAGATCAGTGGAATAGATTAGAAGATACAACCACAACTACAAACACACTCAACCACCTTATCTTTGATAAAGGAGCCAAGCAGGTTCACTGGAAGAATGACAGTCTCTTTAATAAATGGTGCTGGAAAAACTGGCTCTCCATTTGCCGAAAACTAAAGCTAGACCCATGTCTATCACCATGTACTAAATTAAAATCTAAATGGGTCAAAGATCTGAATATTAAAACAGAAACACTAAATTTATTGGAAGACAA